TATGCGCGGATCCTGATACAAAGCAGTTTTAAAATCTTATTAGGTAATGTTAACAATTTCGTGAAATATGAGGGACATTGTTACTGGGAAATCCTACAATAACTGGTTAAAATATATTTTTTGTCTTTTATGATGAATTTGCTACGGAAAAAATGTATTGGGATGTAAAAGTAAGATTTCGAGATTCTATGTTCAAAGTTTATAATTATAATGTACCAGTGCATTTCATTATCTGTGTTAAAATCCTCATAAAGTATACAAACAATTATCAATCCTGTAGGATTCCACAACAATAAATACACGAATTACTTTTATATAATGAACATTACGTAGCAACATTTTGCAACATTTAGGATTCTTAATGCGAGATCAGATCGAAATGTTGAGCTCTCAAGATTGTACAGAAATTAAGAAGATTAATCGGTGTACCGTCTGACCGTTACTTCCTCACACGTCAGTTAGTGCTGCAAATATATACAGGTGTAAAATACTAGTAATAACATAGACAAAACACAACATTTGTAAGTATGACCATTGCAGAAAGTGTAGTACGCTAAGTATGACCATTGTAAAAATAATTTTTTATTTGTTCCTAAACCGTGCCGATTTTTAATTCTACTCCATTTTGAATAAAGTGAGCACAAATTTATAGCAACATAATACATAATGTGAATATTTTTCTTGGCTGACTTGAAGTTTACAAGAAATGAGAAATCGATTTCCATAGTTTCAACAAAAATATTAAATTAACAAATTTATATCACTGCAGAATACTCATACAATTATTAAGAGCTAATTTTGACTGACATTTGTACAGAGGGTTATTGAGAAATAATTAACAGATGTCTTCAACATACATTTTACTAAGAAGTAGATAAATCGCTTTGCGTTGTCCGGGCATTTATAAATCATTATCATTTATTAGATAGGCAAATGAATAAATTCTGTGTGTGGTATATCCCCATCCTCCCCCGCCCCGCCCTGAGCCACCGTGCTCTGGTTCTCTC